GTATACTTAGCACATGGGACCGGTGAAGCACATGTGGGTTAAGTTTTGAATTCAAAATTCAAATTTGAATTCAAAACTTGGCGCCACATGTGAAGCCTCCACATTGGCGCCAAGTTAACCTAAATCCGGATGACATATAAGCTTCCCTCCTTACCTATTGTATTCACTTTTGAGCTAATGAAATTTGAGAGCATTTTATGCCAAGTCTCCTCCAAAAGTCACCGAGAGTTCCAACTTCAAAACCCTAGGAGAATTCACCTTAATCCTACTTATTGAAGTGAGCTTTCCTTTTCTCCTTAAGCTTGGATGCTTCCATCCATAGCCTAGGACACCTTAATTCCGAAAATCCTCCTCCATTCAAGTGTTCTTACATTTGGTTCAAGTCTTCTTGAAGAGAATCCGTGCATAGGTGAAGCTAAGGAGAGGAACACCTACCACTTCTCCTTCCTTTGCCATCAATTAATCATAAAAAGTCATGAAATAAGGCTCTTGTTGGGTGAGCTAAGCTCTTTGGAGCTTTTCCATGGGGGAGATTACTCTCCCTCAATGTAGGAAACACTTAGTGACTTTTCTTGTTGGGTGGACTTTTGGATCATTGGGTGGCCAAACTCCTCTAGAGCTCGTCGCTGGGCAACCAAGAGCTTACTAAGTGGACAAAAACCCTTGTGATTCCTCTCACTAAGCAATTATAGCTCGTTGGGCGAGCCTATGAATTTAATCATTTTATCGCTAGGCGATGCTTCATGACTAAGGAAGGTCATGATTCTAGGCAACTGTTCTTCAACTCATGAACATGAACTAGGCATTGTATCATTTCGATGGGAGAGAAGAAGGTTTTAAACAATGGAGAAACGTCTTTTCTCATAAAACCCAACCATCACTCAACATAAATCCAACATGCAACCTTCATTATATCATTTACACATTTGATACAAAATTCAGAAGAAAACCACATGCATTAACAACAAGATCCAAGATCATCGTTCATTCTTCAAAACAACATAAGCAACCAAAAACCTAAAGCATTTGGGTTTTTACTTCTCAATTCAATACTAAAGCCACCAATGAGCCAAACAATGCACTAATCAATGTATGCAACACACATAAAAAAAATATCTATCAACTTCCCTTACCACAATTACTCCTAGAAACAAGGAAAGAAAACCTAAGAAACTTCTAAGTCTCCTATGTCGACTTTTGTCTCTGACCCTCAGCTCCTCAACTTTAAATCTTTACTCAAGCACAACATAAACTAGTTTAGGGAAGAATCTGAACACTCTTATAAATTTAGAAGAAGGAAAAATATTCTTTAGCTCCAGAGCCCATCTTTCTAAAATTTCTCTCTAAACCTTGGAAAAATGGATTTATGAAACTCAAGTTTCTTGAAAACCTTGTATACCACTTTTTGTTTTTGGTCAACTTTGACCTCAACACTAAAAAATTATAAATAGCTAAACTCATAAAAATTTCATAATCTTTAGAGTTCTAAAAGGATCATATAACATGCAATATATAAAAAGGACACAACTCACACCATAGCGTTACAAAAAAAATTAAAAATAACTATAATAAATTTTAACACTAAATTAGAGGTAAATTTTATTAAAATATAGAAAAAAGAAATTTGTAATTAACTTTTATATGTGTTACAACTAAATATAATAAAAAAAATATTATTATATATAATGAAAATATCTCAAAATTATTTAAAATAATGATGACCTATAATAATATACAAAAGGGATATCCCTTTTTGGTACCCACTTTTTCAAAGACAATTATATCCTTGTGTGTATGTTACTTTTTTTTTTTTGACTAATTTATACTTAAGGATAAAATACTATATATATATATATATAGGATTTTAATACCTTATACATTCTTATGAGCACTACAAGAAAAATGCAAATTATTGACGAATAATTTTTTATTGAAACAAATTTGTCAGAAAATTTATATTTCTAACGAATACAAATCTATTGAAAAAATTATATTTCTGACGGATATATATATCCAACGATAATTTTTGACAGACACAAATTTGTCGAAAAATTTATATTTCTGATGAAAAAAATTCGTAGAAAAAGTTATATAATTACCGACAGAATATTTCTGACGAATTTATATTTGTCGAAAATGTAAGAATTTCTGACGAAATTTTTTGATAGATGCCTAAGTCAAAATTTTCCAATGGAATGTTACTAACGGATAATGATTTGTCAAAAATTTGATCTATAAAAAATGTTTAATAATCTATCAAAAATTAAATTTATTTCCGACCCGGACAATTTTAGGGGTCTACACACACGACATCGCCGCTAGGAATACTCGTTGCAACATTTACTCCAAGCTCATGGTAGAACAACTAGCAGGTACCTACCAAATTAAAACTCTCTTTTGCAATGATATCACCTCACCACCTCGGTCTGGACCTCGTGCTTCCAGAGCTTCACCATCCACCATGTACCTCGAGAAAGAAACGCCAGGACCGACCTCCTCTCGAAGCTCGCCAATACCAAACGCCCAGGACAACGTAAAACCATTATCCAAGAGACCCTATCCTCTCCGAGCTTGGAATGCGAGACAATCTGCTCGATTGAACCAGTCGAAAAAGGATGGATGACCGACATATGGCGCTACCTAAGCAAAGGAATCTTGCCCAACGACAAAAATAAAGCACGGCGAGTTAAGAACTAGTCGCCTCGGTTCATCATTGAATCAGGCGAACTGTTCATGCGAAGTGTCTCAATGTCGCTACTCAAATGCCTCGACAAGTCCCAAGTCGAGTACGTACTCGAAGAGATACATAGGGGGATATGCAAACTACACTCGGGAGCACGCTCCATGGCTACTCGGGTTATCCGTGCTGGGTATTATTGGCCCACGTTGAGATCGGACTGCCAAGCTTACGTACAAAGATGCAAGCCCTGCCAAGAGTTCAGCCATATACCTCGAAGTTCCCCTGAGGTCTTACACCAAATGCAATCACCATGGCCTTTTGAGCAACGAGGAATGGACATCCTTGACCCTTTTCCCTTAGCCAAAGGCCAAGTAAAATTCTTGTTAGTAGCCATCGACTATTTCACAAAATGGATCGAGGTCATACCTCTCGCCAAAATCACAGCCGAGAATGTACATCGATTCACATGGAAAAATCTAATATGCAGGTATGGGCTCCCACATGTGATCGTTATCGACAATGGAAGATAGTTCATAGACAGAAAATTTGAAAACTTCCTCCAAGAGCTCGACATTCGACGTCACGTAACCTCGGTAGAACATCCCTAGATGAACGGCCAAGCCGAGGCCGCGAACAAAGTACTACTCCATGAGCTTAAAAAACGACTACGGTCAGCAAAAGGCCTATGGGCGGAGGAGCTCTCCAACATCCTCTAGGCTTATAATTGTACCCCGCAATCAGCAACTCAAGAAACACCATACAAGTTAACCTACGACTCCGATGCCATGATCCCTGTAGAGGTCGGGGAAGCATCACATCGGAGGTTGACCTTCAATAACGAGCAAAACAACCAAGAATTGGAAGCTAATCTCGATATGATCGATGAACTCATAGACGAAGCTCGGATCAAAGAAGAAGCCTGTAAACTCTGAGCCGCAAGAAGATACAACACCAAGGTTAAACCACGGAAGTTCCGACCGGGAGACCTCATGTGGCGACTCCGAGGTGACGCTAGAAAGGACCCCTCCGAGGGAAAGCTAGCACCAACATGGGAAGGTCCCTTCCAGATCGGTGAAGACCTCGAAAACGGCGCATACCGACTACAAGAACTCGGGGTAAGGCAATCCCTAGAACTTGGAATGCCACCCACCTCAAATTTTACTTCAATTAAAATGTATGATAAGATGATGTACTCTTTTTCCTCCTCGATCTTTTTTGTCCCTAAAAGAGAAAAAAGAAGGTTTTTGGCCGAGAAGGTTTTAATGAGGCACGTCCAAATTCCAATAAAACATACTATCTTCTCAATATCCTGAAGTCTATGTTAATTACGCACTAAAAAACCCAATCTCAAAGATTAAACCATAAGGCCGAATTTGAGCCTCATGCCCAAAATCAAAGGCCAAGTTCGAGCCTTAATACGAAAACTAAAGGTCAAGTTTGAACCTCGAAATCCAAGGTCGAACTCGAACCTTAGAAAAAACTAAAGGTCAAGTTTGAACCTTAAAGGCCGAGTTCGAGCCTTAAAACGAAAGTAAAAGGTCAAGTTTGAACCTTAAAGGCCGAGGTCGAGCCTTAAAATGAAAGTAAAAGGACAAGTTTGAACTTTAAAGGCCGAGTTCGAGCCTTAAAACGAAAGTAAAAGGACAAGTATGAACCTTAAAGGCCGAGTTCGAGCCTTAAAACGAAAGTAAAATGTCAAGTTTGAACCTTAAAGGTCGAGTTCGAGCCTTAAAACGAAAGTAAAAGGTCATGTTTGAACCTCAAAGGCCAAGTTTGAGCCTTAACACGAAATCTAAAGGTCAAGTTTAAACCTCAAAATCCAAGGTGAATTCGAACCTTGGAAAAACTAAAGGTCAAGTTTGAACCTAAAGCCGGGTTTGAGCCTTAAAACAGGTCAAGTTTGAACCCCAAGGCCAAGTTCGTGCCTTAAAACAGGTCAAGTTTGAACCTTAGGACTGAATTCGAGTGTTAGAAACGAAAATTAAAGGTCAAACTTGAACCCAAGGCCGAGTTCGAGTCTTAACACAAAACCAAATGCCAAAACCTTAAGGCCGAGTATGAGCCATAAAATAAAATTAGGACAAGTATGAACCTTAAGAGTTTCAAAAATTAAAGGTCACGTTTGAACCTTAAGGACGAGTCCGAATTTTAAATGATAAAAGGTCAAATTCGAACCTTAACCAAAACCCAAGGTCACATCTGAACCTTGAATGGAGATTGAATCGAGTCAAGATAAAAACATTAAAGAGCGCAAAATCAAGAAATTGGTGCCAAATTAACGCAAACAAAAGAGAAATTCATTCAAAAATATAAACAGAGTGTTCAAGCATAAATACAAAAAGCTTTTACATCACAAAAAATAGAGGGAGAAACAAAAGCCTAGGAAGCCGTGTTTTCACTGGTGCTCTTGGACAAGTCATCTTCATTCACCAGCTGCCCACCCTACACATCCTTCTCAATATGCATAGCAGAAAGGTCTACCCCTGCCGCAAGCAACTTAGCCTGACGCACTGCCTTGGCAAAGCCCCGCCGGTGCTCAACCACAACGGCATGCTCGGTCTCGAGAAGCCTCTCCTCCAAATTCTTTTTCGAGGAGGTCAACACATCAATGTCCATCTTCAAGGCACCAATCTCCTCCTCCCTACCAACAAGAAGCACCTCGTCACATAGGCGCTTCTCTGCAGCCTCCCCTAACTCGGCTTTTAACGTCGAATTCTCTTCCTCCAAAGACTGAACCTGGGTCCGAGAAAACTCTACCACATCCTTCGCAAACTTGGCTACCTCCACCAACTCACCAACTTGAGCAACATACGCCTCATTGGCCTTCACAACAATTTCCAAAGACTTTTGAGTCTTTGATAGGTCTTTCTTCAAGGACTGGAGCTCGGCTTCCCCCTTCCGCGCCCTCTCCAGCTCAGCCAGGTGCTTCTTCCATCGGCGTTTCCAATGGTCCACTATCACAATGGATCTCTGTAAAAACACCTCGGCCGAGTTTAACCCGTCGACCGGACCCATCTTCTCAATCATGGCCTTGTCGACCACATAGGCAGGATCTTCCTTGTAGAACCCCGCAACATTCACATTTGGGCTCCACAATGACACCACATCAAGCGACACGTTGACATGGTCCAACCTTGCCAGGGGACGAGTCACATCAAAGCGTTGGACTATGCACCTAGACCTCGGATTAGTAGAAGGACCAGGAGCAGGGGACGTTGAAGTAAGAGGAGCCGAGATCGGCACCTCTAAACTCGGACCTTCCCCACGAACCTCAGCCGAGGAAGGCACTAGAGTCACCTGCAAAGAAATGACAAAGTTCAAAATTTTTCCTAAGTTACAAATACAAGGATGACACACAAAAGCAAAGGGGACAATATTAAAGAGAAGCAAAGCCAAAACCTGTCTGCCCGGAGTAGCCTCCACCACAGGCCCCCCAGGTGGTGTCCCGGCCCGAGGACTCTCGGTCAAATCTATGGTGGCAACATCGGCGGCCTTAGACGTCACCTCTTCAAGAATAGGGGCGCCTGAAGCCTCGCCGACCTCCTTCTACGCCCTCTTTCTTTTGCGGCGAGTCTCCAGAGGAGCAACCTCCTCACCGGGCTTGGGCACATCGAGCTCCTCGGTATTAAACCTCGCCTTAAGCTCCCGCCACTTGCTTTTCCCCATCAGACCTGCAAACATAAAACAGCATAGCACATCAGAACATCGCAAAAACGTAGAAAACGCAAAGGGAAAATAATGAAGTACTCACTCTCCAAACCCCTCTCCTTATTCGTCAAATTGGCAAGGGATAGGACGAGTTTGTTGTCCAATGGGCGTGGAAGCTCGACCAAATTGGCGATGTTGTCCCTGTCAGAATCTGACAACTAGAGACAGCTCGACCCATTAAACTTGACCGGGCTTCGCTGCCAAAAGAAAGGGAACCTCGGCTCCCCCTCATTGTGGAAAACCACCTCCTCCCTTAGGTCGGCAACCACAGGTCGGATCCGAAAAAATTCTTTCTTGAAATTTTTATATTATTGGTAGTAAAGTTGGAACAACCCGCAGCCTTACTCCTACTGAGAGACACCCAACGTAGGAGAGGCTCGCCCAACTTAAGTTGATAAAAATGTAAAAAAAACAGGCAAAGATACACCCATTCCCAGGGCTGAGCACAAAACCTGAAACACCCTTAAGAAACCCCCACTATTGGGGTTTAACTAGCAAGGGGCCACATTGACAAACCTAAGGAAGGTGCACTCAAACTCGGTGAATAGCAAGCAAACACCGAGATCCCTAAAAAAACACTCGTACATATAAAAAAAATGAAGTACTCGAGGTACCCGCCATATAAACACACTCATCGGGCTGGCAAGGCTCAACCCGGATGAGCTCAGAAATGTCTAACCTACAAATCTTCAACATTTTCCAACACATTGACATCCAGAAACGCCCTAAATCGACTCTCGAACTCCCCAACATCCCCTTTGACCCATTCGTACCCCGGGACAGAAATGGTGGGTGAGAATCTTTGAGATTGTTCCCACCCCTTTTCTTTTTCTCATCAGCAACGACCATTTCCCCGGTCGTCGCCGCCTTCCCACGCGCCTTAGCCTTGCCCTTGGAAGGTGCGGGGGGAACAAGACCTTGCTGCCCCTCGTCGGCCATTGTTTGCAAAACAAACGCGAAAAGGAGAAATAGGGAGAAGGGAGAATGAGAACAAGTACCTGGTACTCCTAGGACCAAAACTCGCGAACATCAACAACGAGCGAAGTGACCACCGTTACCACAGAGAACAATGAGGACAACAGAGAACTCAAGCAAGGAAATACAAAGACAAAGGCAACGAAGAAGACAAAGAAGAAGCTGTGGGGAAATAAGGAGGGAAGAAAATTTTTAAAGTAAAAAATGACACAGAGGTAAGGGCATAAAGTAAGGCTCATAATGATAGGGCACGCCCCATCATTACAAGTCGTCACTCTTTATGACAAGTTGCCCCTGATTCGTGAAACGAGGCAACGTTTCGACAACACGCGACACTCAACCTAAAAGATCAAAATGAAAAGCCACGACCCCTCACATGACATTGGCACTAACTCCTCGGCTAAAAGCGTTCGGAGCTCGAGGGACTAGTGTACCACCCACATCGGCACTAACTCCTCGGCTAAAAGCATTCGAAGCTCGGGGGACTAGTGTACCACCCATATCGGCACCAGGGCTCACCCTGACAATGATAGGCTTGGACCATGCCAACTCAGAAGGTCGGCCCATCTCTCCAACAGATAATATAAGTTGATAAGAAGGAGATCTTATCATATTCACTACTACAGGATATACATTCTACATCAGTTTTTTTAGGCATTTTACATCGGTTTTGGAAACGATGTAGATTAAGGCGATGTAGAAAATATAAGACATTCTACATCGATTTAAAAACTTATGTAAAAAATCTCATTTTTACATCAGTTCTGCCAAAAACTGATGTAAAATATTGCATATTCTACATTGATTCTGTCAAAAACTAATGTAAAATATGTCAATTCTACATCGGTTATTCAGAGAACTAATATAGAATGTCATATTCTACATTGGTTCTGTCAATAACCAATGTAGAATAAGACATATTTTACATCAGTTTTATCAATAGCCGATGTAAAAAACTCAATTGATAAATCAACATTAGTAGGCAAAATTCATTTAATCGAATACTCCAAAAATCTCTTATAGCATCACTCTATTAAAATAGTAATCACCAAAGTCATTTGCCTCCAGAAAGAACTAATGCACCTAAAGTGAAAAATAACTAAAAAGGAGGGGGAAAAAAATAAAAAGGCTTTCTCTTTATGATCGGTACAAGTAAAAAAACCATAAGAAATATTAAAAAATAATAATAAATTTTGGAAATTAATTAATTTACACTATATTTATTAGATAAATATTTATACATCAGGTAGTCTAAGTCATCAACAAGTGTCATTTCATCTAGTATAATAACGTTGAGTAATTCTGCACTTTTTCAATGCCAAATAATAGCTTCCTAATAAATTTCACACTATTGTTTACATGCATTCTATAAGATATTGCTTTCACAACTTGTTTTTGAGCTACATTTTTATTGGGAAAACCTTTAGGAGATTTGTGGAACTAGAAATAAATAGTGAAGATGAAATTAAGAAGATATACAATATAATAAGCAAAACTTAGTGGGTAACAAAATAAAATGCGCCATCAAATTACAAGTTTTATTTTCTTATAGTTTTAACATTCAGGCCAAAACATTCAAGGGAAAAAAAGGTTTACTAGCAACCTCTCAAGTTTCAATAACAATACGAAATAAGATATAGCCATATATAGGAAGAGAATATCATTGTCGAACCCTACATCATCGTACTGCATCACGTGAGAGCCATAGTATGCACCTCCATATAAAGTGTTATCTGTAACCCAAAAACATAGTAGTAAAGGTATCAATCACACAACTCTTAACACATACCAATGTTTGTCCATAAAATTAGACCAAGAATTTAACAAAAACAACAACAATAATAAATCTCACTTATAACTAAGAAATCAAGGAATTGAATTATATTCTTCAATTTATATCCTCCAGAAAGCATAAGAATGAAATTAAGGGTGAAATTCAAGATGCAAGAGGGCACATATTCTATGCTCTACTGGTTTTTTTGCTTAACTTGAGAACTCATGTGATTGGTTTTCATTTTTTTTCTTGTTCAATGATCCACAATTGTTTAACCTTTCATTCAATGATGCACTTTTACTCTTGTAAGAAGCATTTTACTATTTCTGCATGAATTTGTGCATGTTGAGCTAGACAAATACCAAGCAGATTTGATTTCTCACTAATTGAAGCAATCAAAATCTCTTTACTCTGTTAATTCGGTAACCGGGTATTAGCCACCATTGAAAATCTCTTAACTAAATTTTTATAAAATACATGTACTTGGGTAATAAATCACAAAACTGTTCTATTTTATTGATTTTTTTTTTAATCAATGGTGATAACTTTACATTTTATCCTTTAAAGGGTGTCCCTCACATTAAAGAAACTAAATCCAAGTTTAATCATAACCTCAGAAGAACATTCTCACAGCTAGGTATGAAAGCATATAATATAACATAAAATATTGTTGTTAAAGCATGTAACATTCTTACAAGTTGCTCTGTACCTGTTCATGATGGCAGTGCAAGGGTAAATAAATAGTAAAAGGAATTTATTTATACCTACCTGTTCACATCAACATAAACATTGCTAAACAAAATTTTTAATTTATTGTGAAGAAAAATATTAATGGATTATTAACTAAATGAAAAATGAAGAAAGGTAGACAAAAATAATTTCATTGATATGGCTCTATAGTATGGTTTAGGTATTTCTGAAATTTTTTAAAAAACAAGAGAGTTGGATAAAGGTGACTTAACAATAAAATGAAAACAAAAGTTGTTTACCTTTTCTTGTAAGTTATTTTCTTTCCATGGAAAGTTTTTAATGGTTACAAACTGATGGCTACCACCTGCAAGGAAAGGTTTATATTAATAATTAATTATATAAAATAAAATTAACCATTTTTACAAGGGAATACTTAAACCAAAACAACCAGTAAACAAAAGCATTGCTGGTACAAGGGAATAAAAAAGAAAAATTACTTATTCTTCTATCATTGCTTGCAAGTTGTCAAGTTTAGGAATCTAGAAAATATATAGTTTTAAATATTTGTTAAGGGCCAGAGTTTGACATTCCAAATTTTCACTTTTAGACATAGAACTCTATATTATATATTATATTCTTCCTTTGAATTAGAATTGCTAAGAATCCCTGTACCCTACGTAAATGATAAATACACTAAAATAGAAGAATTATATATTATATTGTAGAATGGAAGAATCACATTCTGAATATGCTTGTTGAATCGCTAAATAGACATAAGTTAGACTTTACTCTATTTTTTGATCCACTATCCTTCCTTCGTCAATCTCTTCTACTTGGTATACATCACATTTTGGTTGTGACTCTGCAAATGAAAACATTAAAGTTACAATCCTCTTTGTGTGGCTCACCTAATTGTGTGAGCTTTTGAAGAAAGAAAAGTAACAAGTTAGAAAGTAATAACTTCAAAAATGACTTTAACAATAGGGTTTATGAGTTATTGCCCAAAAGTACTTATATTAGAAAGGTGAGAAGCTCGTGTCTACAATGCAGCTATCATATACCATTTATAGGGGTGGCCGCTGAGCAGTTATAGTGGTATACTATACTAATTATTGGCTAAAAAAAGGCTTACAACTAAGGTAAAAGAGAATAAAAAAGGACAAATGTGTGTTTTGTGGATTACCTTTTCAAGCTCATTAATTAAGATATGGCACATTCCATGTCGACGATATTGTAATCTGGTACCAACAAGAGGTACTTCTACTACCTTCTTCCCATAGACCCTAACAGATTGACATAGCAAATGAAATATGACCATCCGCAACATGACAAAACATAAAAAACAACTCAAATAGAACATGTATTCATACAATCAAGAAAAGCCTAATACTTGATAGTAAAAGATCCTATACTCACCTAACAGTTGCAACACTGATCAGTTCTTCATTTCTCTCAAGTAGCACAGTATAGAAACCCTGGAAATTTAATCGGTTAAGCTCTGAGCTGAAATGTTCTGAAGCACAGATATCATGATTATAGACAAAGTAAATAAGGTATATGTAAACAAATCCATTAGTATATAACACATACAACAAGCAACAATAGAACATTAATGATCATATCTTGAAGGATAAAAATTTCTGACCATTTGCTGAATATAACATCTTCCACGAGATCTCTGCTAGTCAAAGATTCCTTTAGGGTCTTAAAACACTCGTGCATCACCTAAAGGGCCAGATTGAGTTTGCTGTAACTTTCTGCCAATAAGTCACTTTTAATGCTACCAATGTCACAATAAGTCACTTTGCTGATTTCTATTCTTATGCTTGTGAGTTGTGTCATGATCTGAGAAATGAAAATCCACATGTAATCGTTGATAATGGTTAATAATAAAATAAAAGTATGTGATTGATCTATTATATAATTCCTCTATATTAAAATACAAATAAAAACAAAAGACAAATGTTAACCTTTAACCTTTCGACAATAACTACTGTCCAACTGCATTTATTGAGATTCAGCTAAAGCAAAGTGTTTAAACACAATGTCTTGTGTTGCACTATCATTTAAGTAGCAGGTTTCAACTTCCAAGAATTATACAAGAGAACAAAATCATTACACATGAATCTATCAAGCCTTTTATCTGTCCTAGCTAATCTAGATCGATTTTTTGTTCAAGTGTTTGGAGAACCAGTGCAAGTAATATCTAATAACTGACATGAATCTTTAGAAGAAACAAAATCATTCATACATGCCAAATAAGGATGTTCGGGTCCCCTATATTCACCATGATTACTAATCTCATTAAAATCACCTAAACAAACCCATGCCCCAGGATTGAGTTTGAATAGAAATTAACTCACTCCATAAATTTCTACATTTTCTATAATCACTACTAGCATAACACACTGCAACAAAGAACTTGTCTACACCAATGACATGCGAAAAAATAATAGATTGATCGGAGAAGGATATAATAGAAGGAGAGATAAAAGTAGAACAAAAACACCAAATGAAGCTCTTTGGGAGACTATTTTCTGCAAAAAAATTTAAACCAAGATCCCTCCAAAAAGAATATTGTATTTTGAATTGATTAATACAACAATATTTACATCACAAAATCCTATTTTAAAGGGCTGGAAAAAATTCATGCCAATATCAACAGTAAAAGTTTGGACAAGCTTAAAACAATTCAATATACTAATATTAAAGATTAATAAAAATGGTGCAAAAGATTTTTTAACAAAACTGAAAGTTATATGAAGAGAATAAATTGGATTGTTTGTTGGTTGAGTCATTAGGATACGTGTAATTTCTTTAGCCAAACTACCCAGCAACTGCCACCAAGCAAAAGCAAGCAGTTGAAAAATAAAAGTTGGTTCAGAGGCATGCTTCAAAGATGAAAATGCAACCAGCTGAATATTAAAAACTAGATATGAAATCTTCCAGAAAATAAGTGACACGTTAGTACTGAAAAATTTATTTAAAAACAACATAAACATAATCAAGTATCATCAACAATTATTTTGATTTAGATGCTTTAGATTTGGTCTTGGCAGCTGCAGGTTTAAACACTAGAACCAGTCTTTTTCTTCTTATTATTCTTGCTCAAGAATGGCTGAAAATCTGGTGCAGTGGCTTCAGCCAAGGCTAAATCATGATGAACAAAATCATCCTCCAAAGGAGACATTCCTTCCAGCGAATTATTGGGAGACACTTGATCCTTATCCGGGCCATGAGGTGCAACCACATTAGTTGAAACTTCAGCTAGCCAAACAGCACCATTTTACATCAAAATTGGCTCAGCTAACAACAAATTATCCACCTGCACTTGCAAAGATAATTTAGAAGAATCAAAGATATTTTTATGACTCAAATTATGTAAATTTAGAAGAGTCAAAGATATTTTTATGACTCAACCCACACCAGCTGCTCTTCCAACATCACTTGCTGGGTGGATGACTAACCCATCTCCTATTCCACAACTTTTCGACTTGTGATGGACCAATAGGTTCGGCCAGAACTAATAATGTAGGTAAGGTCATAAGTAATCGATGGGTAAAAGTGAATTGTTACAGTAATAGAAGAACCAAATAACAACAACTCAATAAATATGAAAATCCAACATGACAATGCAAAAAGACCTCAACAACTATAATAACACATTGAAATCAAAAATCCTACTTGTACTACAGATTAAATAACAAGACCTTGTGAAAGTAAGAAGCTCACCTGAGGTGAGAGGTGAAGCACGTAATGAAGATGTGCCTAAAAGGAGCAAATACGCTTGTTAGTGAGCACAAACACAGTCTCCGTCACCACAAATTGGTCCAAGGTCAATGATTTCCCCTTCTTTTTCCTCTCCCCATCCACGAGCAATGATAACAGTGTTGGCGGCCTCCGAAAAAACCCTTATCCTATCCAACAACAGTGACTCCCCCTTCCTCTCTCCCTCCACAACCTACCACGCGAGAATCACACAACCCTTGCCAACACTAGGTTTAACCATGGTTGCAGGTTTCGTCGTGGCTGTCGATTTCGTTGCGGCTGTCAATTTCGTTGAGTTTCCTTGAGAAAAAGTGCTTCAAGAGTGAGACATGATTTGCTAGAGAGGGGAAGTGAATGTACGGGAGGGTTTTGAGACCACGAAGAAGATAAAGAAAATGCTACATCGGTTCTTTAGTGGACCGATTTAGAATAGTGTAGTTTTACATCGTTTCGCAATTACACCGATGTAAAATAGTTAATAAATCATAATAATTACAAAAATCACTGTATTTTTTTATCTACATTAGTTATTGAACAACCGATGTAAAAATGGCGTCGTAAAATAGTATATTTATAAACCAACTCAATTATCAACAAGAGAAAAACCCTAATTATATCAAGGTACGTGCATTATATATATATATGAGACTCATACATTCACAAAGACTAACTTAAGCATTGAAGTCTCTTTTACATGTGTCAACCCCATTTCGGAGTAATAGACGTACCGAGCAGAGGAGGCTCATTGATCTTACCCAGAGATCGTCTCACCTACCGATCTCAGGTAAGAACAGCTTCAATTTCCAGTCAGTTGTTTTAAGAAAAATTGGCTTAAATGATTTGAAGCCTCCAACATGCAACTATTTGAGAAGAAATTTTGATTAAAAAAATCACGATGATCGAAAAAAGATTTCAAAGACGTAAACAAAAATGAAATTACTCAACAGACTTTGGATGACAATTACGTATATTGTTAAGGTGCAAGAATAATTTAAGTTGATGGCCTTTGCATCATTTGAGCATCAAAGTGCAAATTAAAATGCTTAAATTTAAATTTTTTTATGGCATGAAGCATTTGAAAGAATTTTATTTTTATGATCAATTGAAAGGATAGTTTCATTCAACATAAAAAAAATATTAATCAAAACAATTGGCAAGTAATTATAATTCCTTTCCAACGTTATCAAACTCTTAAGTGCAAGTGTTTTTTTTAATTTTATTTTTATGATGTACAATCATTTGGCCATCAAAGTAATAAATAAGAAAATAAATTAATTTTAAAGTTATGTTAATCAAAGCAAAAATTTAATACTAAAGTTGGATTAATTAAAAATAATGCTTTGATCGATCACTAGTGTAAAAATAGGTTTTTACGTCACCTAATTTACGTCGGAAACACGAAAACTCGACGTTATAAAAATGTGGTGGCAGTATCGTAAATATAAAGAGACTAATTTACGTCGGACAGATGGTGGTCCGGCGTAAATTAGCCAATCTACGTCGGAGACACCTATTAGCCGATGTAGATTGGCTAATTTACGTCGGATCCCCCTTGTCCGACGTAAATTAACCTCTATATTTCCATGAAAGCAGGCCCAAGTCTTCATTTGTAGGACATTCTTTGTATCTGATGGGGGAATCCGCTCCCGGCTCGCAAGGCATCCCTCTCTGCACATTCCACACCAACATTGCAGATCTGCGCCTTTTAGAGCTCCACTCCACCTTTTGCTTGCGGTGCGGCTTTGGCTTCCACGACGACGACGGTACGTTTCCTTTTACCATGTACACTTAATTGCAAGTTCCCCTATTTTTCTTTTCCTTTTCCCTGTCTAACATGTACACTAACTCCTTGGATTGCTTTCGGCAAGGAACTTTCTCTTTGAAAGATGGTCTTCCAGGCACTTTCCTCATGAAAAAGCGAAAGAACAATAGTCTTATTTCGTGCTTAGGAGGGCATAGCCCCTAGGGCAATCACTCTTGAAGAAGGTGCTCCGAGGAAGGGGGTGCATTGACCTTGGCGTGGAGCTGGCTCTGCACGTTTCTGCTTTCTGCTGCATCTGGAACGAGCCGTTCTGCAAGCACTCATTATTTTTTTTTTAAAATTTTTTACTACTTTTTACGTCAGACCTAGTAATTCCGACGTAAATTTACGTCGGTTTTGGAGTGCCGACGTAAATTTACGTCTCCCGCATTAACGTCGGAGCCTTTTCCAACGTAAAAGGTTCAAAATATGCGACGTAAAAGACCCCTTTTGTACTAGTGGATGTATTTAAAAAATAATCATTTTTTATGTTATGTTAATCGAAACAAAAAGATACTTGGATAAATGAAAAATCTTGATGTTGAATTAATAAAAAATTGAGGTTTTGATTCAGATATTAAAAAAATTAATTTTTGTATTATGTCAATACTAATGTTGAATTAATTCTACTATTTTTCTTTTTTCTATCTATTCAAAAGATAGATATCAAGGAATAGCATTGGAAAATGGTATTTTAAGAAGAATATATAAACTTAAATTTTCACTTTTTAATTTTTATTTCTTTTCTAAATTTAATATTTTCACTTTTTAATCTTAAAGTCTTCTTCAAATTCTTAATATTTTATCTTTTCTTAAAAACTCTATCTTTCTACTTTATTTCAAATTAGAAGTCAATAGATTAATAGATCAAATATAAAACCTAAAAAAGTTATTTGTTAATAGATTAATAGATCAAATATCTTTTTTAATACTTTATGTTGAATGAACTATCATTTTTATTGAGAAAAACTTAAGTCTCACATCAACTAGAAATTAGGTAATTAAATAGTATATAAGTAAAAAAGCAACTCTCACCTTATAAGTCGATTTTGTAAGGTTGAGTTCGGCTCAAATTCATTATTTTAAGATGGTATCAGAGTCATCTAGATCCACTCTAAATGAGCCACCTACCATTAATACATGTACCATGGACATGAAGGGGTGTATTGAGAAAAACTCAAGTCCCACCAATCCTAGATAATTAAAAAAGAGTCACCCGCCATTTATCCACGTACCAAGCTCAATAGTATTGGACGTGAAGTAGTATATTAGAAAAAATCCAAATTCCACATCTACTAGAGATTAGACAATTACTTAATGTATAAGTGGAAAATAATATTCACCTTACAAGTCAATTTTGTAGAATTCAATTCGCCTCAAATCTACTATTCTAAGACCTTCCAATTCCACAAAACAAAGATAACACATATACTAAAATTTCATGAAACATGAAGAAAAAAAAAACGAAGATATGAGCTTTGATTATTTTATTTAGTCTTGCAGCAACTACAACCAAAGCATTTATTCATCATCATCTTATACATGACTCTCACTACGTGAAAGTACAGCACTAATTTCATGTCATGCGGATGCAATACATGCAGAAGAAGAAGATGAAGAAACTTTCTGAAGCACAAACTCGAAGGGATTGCCATCAGTAAGTACCAAAGGCTTGTTTCCATGACCATCAGAAGAAGTCCCAATAGGTTGGCACACGCTAGTGTCAGATGCACAGAACGAAAGCTTATAGCTATAGTCAATAGAACCACCTTGCTCAATTATAAACCCACCACTCAACGTGTTATCATAGCCAGTAATTTTAACCGCAGATCCTTCCGATAAACCCTCCACAACAGTCCATGTGGAAGGAGTGCTGGCACAAGTAGGAACAGCAATGAACCCAACACTCACTCTTCCTTGGGGGATAAAAAGTGACTTGAATGGGGAAGTTATCGTCACTGGTTTCCCCTTAGAGACCTCATTGCGAGTTTGAACAACACTCAGAGCGCATGTTTCGTTTCCCGTTGCGGCTTGCTCTATTCCACCGCCGCTTCCTCTGATCACCGGCAAGATATAGAACGTGCCACCGTTTTCAGCCACTTCGCCGTCCATGTCCAGCACAGGCTGAGCAGTGGTTGAAGGTGGGCATAGGGTGAAGGTGGAAAGGACAAAGAGAGTGAGCAACGTTGGACTCAACATTTCTTGGCCTTTCTTTGCAAAGGCTAGCTTTTGCTTAATCAGTCTCGTGAATTGGCGAAGCTGGGAGAATCCATTTATAGACTTGCCTGCATGTGATAAGGCAAATTTTGTATGGACGGAAATAAATGAAGTATACCGTATGTTATGAGTAATTAGTTTGTTATAAATATCTCATCTTTTCAAAACAAAATTTTATACAAGTGAGTTTTGTGATATTTTTTTTTTAAAATATGTTAATCTTATTGTGTATTTTTTATTTTTGAGATAGTATTAAAGTTTATTATATTGAGTATCATTAGACTTATATTACTATATAAGTGACATATGACAACTTGCATTAGACAACACTATTAAGGTAGAAGCAATATTATTATAGTTTGGGTCATATTTTATAGGATGTCAATGTGAAAAAGGTGTTATAGCATGAGTCTTTAATAATACTTTTAAAATAAGTGTTGTCCACCTTTTTTAAATAATAATTGACAACACCTTTAATAAAAAAAAGTAGTGTTATAGAATGAGTCTTTGATAACACTTTTAATAACAAGTATTGTTCTTGTTCACTTTTTTAAAACAATAATAGATAGCATCATAAATAAAATAAAAAATAAAAAAAAGTGATTGTTATAAAATGTGTAATTAATAGCACTTTTAATAATAAGCACTACCTATTTTTTTTAAAAAGTTTAATTGTGTTTTTGTTCTCTTAAGTATTGCAATTATTCAATTTTGGTTATAAAAGTTTTAATTAAGCAATTTAAATCTAGCAAATATCATAATTGTGTGATTTTGGTCCCCTAAATTTTAATTAAACAATTTTAATCACTCAAGTATTGTAATTGTAAGATTTAAGTCTCCCTCCTCCCATTAAAATAAGGTGGAAAGGACAAAGAGAGTGAGCAACGTTGGACTCAACATTTCTTGGCCTTTCTTTGCAAAGGCTAGCTTTTGCTTAATCAGTCTCGTGAATTGGCGAAGCTGGGAGAATCCATTTATAGACTTGCCTGCATGTGATAAGGCAAATTTTGTATGGACGGAAATAAATGAAGTATACCGTATGTTATGAGTAATTAGTTTGTTATAAATATCTCATCTTTTCAAAACAAAATTTTATACAAGTGAGTTTTGTGATATTTTTTTTTTAAAATATGTTAATCTTATTGTGTATTTTTTATTTTTGAGATAGTATTAAAGTTTATTATATTGAGTATCATTAGACTTATATTACTATATAAGTGACATATGACAACTTGCATTAGACAACACTATTAAGGTAGAAGCAATATTATTATAGTTTGGGTCATATTTTATAGGATGTCAATGTGAAAAAGGTGTTATAGCATGAGTCTTTAATAATACTTTTAAAATAAGTGTTGTCCACCTTTTTTAAATAATAATTGACAACACCTTTAATAAAAAAAAGTAGTGTTATAGAATGAGTCTTTGATAACACTTTTAATAACAAGTATTGTTCTTGTTCACTTTTTTAAAACAATAATAGATAGCATCATAAATAAAATAAAAAATAAAAAAAAGTGATTGTTATAAAATGTGTAATTAATAGCACTTTTAATAATAAGCACTACCTATTTTTTTTAAAAAGTTTAATTGTGTTTTTGTTCTCTTAAGTATTGCAATTATTCAATTTTGGTTATAAAAGTTTTAATTAAGCAATTTAAATCTAGCAAATATCATAATTGTGTGATTTTGGTCCCCTAAATTTTAATTAAACAATTTTAATCACTCAAGTATTGTAATTGTAAGATTTAAGTCTCCCTCCTCCCATTAAAATTCTAATAAATTTTAAAAGTTATATTATATTATATATATGTATATATATATATATATAATATTTTAAATTATTCAATTGTTGATCTATTTATATTACATATATTATAGTTTTTATCAAATAATATATATTTATTATTACTAAATAAACACAACTTATATATATTATTATTGTTATATGTTATCGATAAATTAATATCAATATTATTATTCTTTATATATTCATAAATAAATTAAGTATTTCATTAAATGTAAATTAGTTATATATTAATATACTTTTATAAATACATAAATATATTAAATAAAATAAATATATTAAAAATGGGTTAAATAAAAATATTGACACATGAGCAAAACTTATTTGAATTTTAACACGAGAATCTCTAAAATTGTACAATTGTATTACTTGAGTAGGGGTGATAATAAGTCAGGTTAGACTAGATTTTGAATATATAGGTCAGACTTGTTCTATAAAATTAAAGTTTAAATTTGACTTGTATCTATTATAGATTTTTTTTATAGGTCTGAACTAGCATTTTAAACATTTAGTTTAGTCTATTAGCCTATTTAAAATCCCATTTTATATTAATAACCACAATTATTTAAAATTTAGATTTTAAAAGAAATACATACAATGTCACAAAGAGGAGAAAAAATAAATCACTTTTTAATAGAAGGACAATTTGTACAGACTGATTTATTGGGTTTCTAGTTGCATATGAAATTAGTGGGTTTTGTGTGCCCGATAAAACTGAAAGGCTTTGTGTGAAAAAAAATACTTGGATAGATTTCTTGAAGCGATAATTCAAATAATACTTAGGTTTGAGCCAAAAATGGCTTGTTGAAAGAATATTGTATCTTGTTTAAGATAATAGAACTCAATCTAGTTGGATTGAGAACTAGACATAGTCTCGATGGTTGAGATAAACAAGGATAATAATAATAATGTGTGTTTCATTTGTCTTCTCTTTAGCACTCTTTACTGTTAGCTTTACTATACTTTGCTACTTGAAAAAGTATGAGTTTTTGATTGACACATTCAACCCTTCTTTCTAGTGTTTATCTTTTCTCTATAAAGCCAATCCATAACATAAAACCCTAGAACCCCAATTCTTTGATGATTATTGTACTCCTTGCATGCTTTGTAATTTTCGCTCAAGTCTCCACATTGCTCCTCCTCTGTTTCTTCAACCAAGTTTTTATATATGTGCAACAAATAAAAATAGAGTGTGGAGAAGAGAGAGTAAATTGCTCAACACTTTCCAAATGGTTAAGTAGTTTAGAGGATTCTTCATATATGGTGAAGGAACTCCATCAGTTGAGCCCTTAGGAATTTGTTGAGCCCTTAGCAAAACTGATAGCTTGGTTGAATCACTATAAAAAAATTATTAGGTTTTCCCCAAAGATTTGTAATATACTAGGGAATAACCTGGTTCATTCTTCTTGAAAAATTAACAAGCACATTTAATTTGTATTTTATTATGCAATTAGCAAGGGGATTTTTAATATTTCAACACAGTATTCAACCGACAACATAGAGAATTAAGAATCAAAAATTCAATCGGAAATATATCAATTTAAGGTTTCAATCCGTGTGGTAAAATTTTCATAATAAATATGAATTCTCAATCAACCTAATTCAACACGAACATAATCAAAATGTAAATCTAGATCTATAAATTCCACCAAAACATGAAACTCAATCACGATTTCATAATTTTAATAAAATTCAAGAACAATGAACAGTTGAATTAGGCAATTTAGGTTATTTTAGGTCTTAATCTAAATCTAAATCTAAATTTAGCTCTAAAATTAATCTTCAATCTCTATTCTAGATCTCAAATCAAAATTAACAATCGTGAAAAACGAAAGCAAACACCTAAAATAGAGAAGAGAATAAGAGAAATAGAGAATTTGTTCGGTAAAAAGACCGGGAACTCAAATTTTACCAACTTAGAATTGATTAATGAACTAGCCACGTATCATAATCATGTTGCAACACTCTAATTTGTGCAAGAAAGAGAGGAAATCCGAGAGAGAGAGAGAGAGAGAGAGAGAGAATTTAGAGAGACTTTTAGAGGAAACAACTCTAAAATCTGAAAAAATGAAGGTAAAGTGTTTATAAAAAATCTCACAACACCTATTAATAGAGAACTATAGTGGGCCTAATTAGAATATTTATAAGGCTCATCTCACTAAATCAACTAATTACATCCTAAACAAATCCTAACATTACATTCTAAAAATAATAATAAAAAAAATACTATGCAAAGCCACAACTTTGCAATGCATATTTAAATCACTTAAATTTTGAACTGACCTTTGCTCCCAACAGAAAAGTTGTAGAACTCTCTCTTATTATTTCAAGGACCCCAAGAATGCCCAAATCCAATATCGGAAGCTCCAGATATGGCCAGAACAAGAAATAATGTCAAAAATAAAATAAAAAAATTACGAAATTTAACTAGAATTTATAATTAAGACCAAAATGACTCACTAGAACAAATCAAAGCTAAAATATAATAATATGATACTAATAAAAGTCAAATAAACTAAAAATAATGCATAGAAAGATATACAAAAATTGATCTATCAAAAACTGAAATTTTGCACCCCTCTAGAGTTAATCCGCTCAACCTTTCCAAATGGCTAAGCAGTTTAGCCTCTACTTCAAATTTTATTATTTTCCTCTGAAGGGCTCAATCATTTTGAAATGGCTCAACCCTTTCAAAAAGGCTCAACCTTTTCCAAAAACCTCTGTGGATTAAAGTTTTTTGAGACTTTGGATTTTCATTGAATCCTATAAGACATAACATGAGTTTAAGTAAAATTTCCATTAACTCTTTATAAACTAACTAATTTACACAACTCTTTTGAATTTTGTTATATTTTAGGGATAAAACATAAATTTGTTTCAAAACTAGTTAAATAAGTGTCAAAAGAGTTAAGTCATTTAGGTAAAATTGACACTTATCATTCATCTATCTCATAACCATTGGCATTACTAGTTACTATTGTTTCTCGAGTGAATGACAACTTTGCCTTTTTTTCTAATAGGGCGATGGGTTTTGAGGTGCCCAAGCAATTACAATAACTTCCAACTTAGGTATCGTACAATGGAGCAACAAGTCCCAATGACAACCTCTTAGTTTTTATCGGCCTTGTTAAAGGAATGATGAGTCCTATAATATATCGAGCTTTCTTGCTCTTTCTCAATCATAGTATTGTGAAATGGCTCCGATCTTTGGAACGAAAATCTATAGACTTTTAGGTCAATCTTAGTGGCAGGTTGTGTTGTTTTTGTGACGATTAAGGCCAACCCAA